TATACTTACTAATTCTTGAAAAAAACTGAACGAAATGACAAGTAAATTCCATTCAAAAAGACTGTTTTGACTGACATCTACATGACAGTTTCATTTAAAAACTAGAGAATCCACTGTAAGATCCAATGGTTGATTTCAAAGTCTGCCGTTGCTTTCCTTAGCCATAGACTTCACTTCCCATTTCTTCCAGCGATTTCTACTATCTGTTTCTCTAATATGTCTTATCTGTCTATTCTATATAATACTCTACTATTTAGCATCATGGTAATTTTATGAGTTTAATACCTATTTTTAAAAATTCAATCTTTCTTACGTATTAACGTGCATCAGAATATGAAATGTATTACGTACCTTGTAGTTTGTTTATTGTTAAGTACAGAGCTATACAAATGGCTATCTGTGCTCTGCCCACCGCGAATACAGAATCCCGAGTTTTGGCGTTCTAAGCCCCCCACCCCAGACTTTCTTCTTATTAGTTTGTTGAATTTGACTGTCACACTTATAACGCACCCACGACCCCTATGTGCGGAGCACTTTTTTTTGGGCGGTAACGGGTTGCGAAACATGGAACCTAAGATCCACAGTCCGGCTCACTAACCAGTAGGCCACAATATCCCCCATTTATTTATAAACTTATGTTTGTTAATTTAATTAGTTCACTCGTTTTCAATCAATTAATTAATTCCTCCATGTTGTGTAACGAAAGTTCGCTGTTCAAGTTTAATTGTAACATTGTTATCATACTTTGCTAAATTATGACAGACACTATCTGTTCCCTATCTTATCTGCACTTGTTTATGTAGCTAAAAATGTTTATTAGTTTTAATTGAAGTTTCTTAGGTTTGACATTAAGACACAACTGTTAGTGAATTAGCCCTTTCTTTAAAAAAAAATTGAAATTTTATGGAAGAGTTCATTTTTAATCTTCGTGTATATCTGTTTTTTTTTTAGATATTCAATCCTATCAGTTACCTCGTGCACAGTACCATCGACCATTCAGTGATGAAATCTGACCGCCTTAGAAATGCAAAGCAATCAGTAATGTGTCTTTTAAAACTTTCTTTCTTTCATGATGTGGTAACTTTGTCTTCAAACTTTCTATACCACTGTGAATCCAGTAATAATGCATGCTGTACGCGAAATATTTAAAAGTTACCATGCTAATATAAATCATATTATTTTACTTTTCATATCAGACTTCTGAGTAAGAAAGGACGAGAATTATCTGCTCGTCATAACCACATGTGATTGATTTCCACACAAAATTTCTTAACTACAAATTCATTATTATTATTATATTTTTTTTCTCAAAATGAACAGTTTAACACGTTTGTTTATTTTAGAGCAGAGCCACATTTGGGCTATCTGCTGAGTTCACCGTGGGGAATCGAGCCCCGAATTTTAGAGTTGTAAGTCAGTAGACTTACCGCTGTCCCAGTTATACACAAACTAATTAGATCGAAAAAGTGTCGGCATCGACCCACATGCGGCATTTTGTGCGTCCACTGAGGCTGTGAAATTACGACGTAGGAAAAAAAATGCGCGTGCGTGTTGTGGGGGTGTGTGTGTACAAGGAACACTTTTTAAACGTTCAAGTTAAATATCAATTTCAGGCATATCAGAATCTGGTGTTAATATATTATAAAATAATTTTTCTCCCTGAAAAGAAGGGTGAGGGGGGGGGAATTCGGTACTGCAGTCGCAATACCCACATATTTACATAAAATCGTATTTTTTACTTAATCATTGTATTTTGAAATGTTCCTAAAATAAACACTCGTGTTCACACAGAAATAGACAATTATTGAAATAAATTAAGCTGGTGGTTATGGTGCTCGACTCGCACTCTGCGTGTTGCGGGATTAAACCTCGTCACCAAACATGCCCTCTCAGCCGTGGGAACGCTATAATGTTATGGTCTATCCCACTGTTCATTGATAAAAGAGTAGACCAAGAGGTGGTAGTGGGTGACGTTGATTAGCTACCTTCTATCACTTCAAAATAAGGGACGGCTAGCGCGGGTAGCCCTCGAGTAGCTTTGCGCGAAATCTAACAAAAACAAAAACGTATTTTTCTAATGTGTAAACTCGTCTTACTTTGGCTTCCAGTTCACTCCATAGTTGTTTTTGTTAGTGCTAACCCCTAACTGGCAGAAAGCCAAGACAGGGTTTGCATTCATTGTTCTCACAACCGGAGAGAGTAAAGTCCGGAACAACAAGGTTGTTGAAAAACAACTGGCTAGGTTCATGTAAATTTAAATCTGTTTTTGTGTATGTGTGTGCGTAGGCGTATCGAAAATTGAATTCACAGACGACGAAAACAAGCGCCCATTCTGACGACAACGTCCCGTAACCGGGGTTTAATCCTCATATACCAGACTTCTCTTTATGTCATTCACAACCGGTGGAGGTCCACATATTGCACTATAGAGAGTAAGTTTATGTCCTGGGTTGATAGAAGGAAAATGGATGCCTGTCCGTCAGGTGTTGCACTTAACTAAGCCCATTTTTTCTCACGGTCAGCTATATTTAAGCTCTATCCATCGGTTTAAAATGTGCATCCCTGAAGATGCAAATATTGAAAATGTCTTTTACAAGGAACTTTTATAAACAACATTTACAACATGAATTCGCTAGTCCCTAGTTTTAGACAGTGGCTTGAAATATCAGATCTCTTTATATATATATTTAGCCAGATTTTGACAAGTAGTGTAATATATTATGATACGTGTTGGAACACAAACTGGAGTTGTGAAAAATAAAACAAAGAAAATCTTGAAACGCACGCGCCTAAAGCAGCTTCTAAATAAAACCACTATGTTTGAATCTGTGAGCTAACTTCACCAACAACTATTACTGTATGTAACAGAATAGTACAACAACTGAATATGCTACATTCAGGAATCACGTCAGCCGCCAAACCAACAAATTCCAATAAGATCGATCAATCGTTAATTATAGCACTTACAGCTCGACACTTCACAATATCAAAAAAAAAAAGTTTGCTTACTAGAATACAAAATATAAGAGAGACCGATAAAAGAAGATTATTTAAGTACATGAGCAATATCTGCAATACGAGAAAAATTCGTGCTTTCACTTCTCACTGCGCAGTGATATATTAAATAATGAACAAGTCTTAACCATACGCTTCATTGATTCTACGAAATTTTACTCGACAGTCAGCTTATCGTTTTATTATAGACCATTAAAAATAAGAAGTTTAAGCTTTAAAAAAAAGTAAATTGATTGGAATTCAAACACAAAAAAATGGTGTCTCTCAACGATATTACCCAGAAAAAAAATTCCATTTTCTTCTTTTTCTAAGTGCAATAAGATGTTTCTTAGCACTGGTACATTTTCACACATTTCAGGTTAACCAATCACTGTTGGATATTTTTTTTAAGTTTAACTATCTGGCAACCTCTTTGTCCCAACAAGAACTTTTATAGTTACTACAAGCATACACGTTTGGAGTATATAAACCGTCGATTAATAAAGTCTTTTTTTTTTTTACTCAGTTGCGTAGTAACGCACCACGCGTTCACTTTAATGTTGACTTTCTAGAGAAAACCTTTTCTGTTTGTTTCCCCGACTTGGAAAAGGTTTTGAACTTGGAGCATATAATCCTTTAATCAATTATGTTTCGGGTCCATTTGACCCAACAATGGTTTCCATCACGTTATAATTAAATGTATCTTTGAGTATATATTATAATCAAGAACGACTCATTCCATTCGGAAATACATGCCCAAGCTTCAACAGAGTCTGACAGCCATCTTCAGACACGGAGATAAAATTATCATGAAAGACGACCTTTCTCGACTGTGAGGGGTTGCCAAAGAGACAGAGAAAGATATTCAGTTCTAATATATAACTTAAAACATTAAAAGCTATTTGTTTGTTTAAAGTTAAGCACAAAGCTACACAATGGGCTATCTGTGCTCTGTCCACCACGGGTATCGTAGCCCGGTTTCTAGCGTTGTAAGTCCGCAGACATACCGCTGTGCCACTGGGAGGCTAAAAGCTATTTAGATATAAAATATTTTATCGATTCAGAGCTGTTTCAATTTGTTGATATGAATATTACAGATGTACCTAAATTCAGGGCTGTTTCAATTTGTTGATATGAATATTATAGAAGTACCTAAATTTAGAGCTGTTTCAATTTGTTGGTATGAATATTACAGATGAACCTAAATTCAGGACTGTTTCAACTTGTCGATATGAATATTACAGATGTATCTAAATTCAGGGCTGTTTCAATGTGTTGATATGAATATTACAGATGAACCTAAATTCTGAGCACAGTAGGAGGGTTAAATGATGACTAATTAAATAATTCTTAATTTCTTAAGAATGTCTCGAGGTTTCCTCGTGTATATTCTTAATTTAAATCAGAAGCTTCATCCACAATCAGTACTTTTTCAATATCATGTAACAGTTTCTCAAAGACAATTTCTCTAAAACTAGGAGCTTCGTAGTTATCCCTGCATCTAGTTCTATTGTAACATCTGAAACCTCCAAAAAGTGAGGCTGCCAAAACCTTCATTAATTCCTTATACTGTGATACTCTAGAAAAGCAATTGAGCAATACATATATTATTTCACAAACAACCAATTTTTCTCGACTTATAAAATAGCTAAGCGCAAAAAAACAAATTCTTCAAAAATAAAAATAAAACAGACAAAAAATCAACACTATTCACATCTCTAAAACTAAATACTACTCTAAAATGGCCTTGCAAGTGGTATTGTAATAGATCTGATAACTAGAAACAAAGCATTAAACCTAATCAGTAAACCATCTTCCCTACTGACATGTCAAAACAAAATAAACTAAATACTACTCTAAAATGGCCTTGCATATGGTATTGTAATAGATCTGATAACTAGAAAACAAAGCATTAAACCTAATGAGTAAACCAAATCATTAAACCATCTTCCCTACTGACATGACAAGAAAAAAAATGGTTGAAAGCATATTTGTTTGTTACTCACCAAAACCAAAAATCTTCCTAAGCTTTACAGTGGAAATCTTGCGAAGATGTTGTTAATGTTACTAAGCAACTCATTTAAATACAAGTTTCTTTGACTAAAGTCGCCGAAACAAACACTGTGGTGATAAACGAAAAAAAAGTAAACAATATTACACTTCTGTCTACAGGAATTCGATACTGTCTTGACGTTTCGTTTGATGACAAATTCGCCTTTAATTTGTGTTAAAAATCTGTACGCGACAGGAATTTGCCTTTCTCGTTCCTTTTGTAAGGAACGCAAATCTGTTCAAAAAAGTTCCCCGATAACGAGTACTACTTAGAAATATTATTATATGTACTTCTATAAAATGACACAACTTTTCTTACGTCGTTCACACACGACTTAAGGAAACTGACAACGTCAAAGTCTACAGTTGTAGTCAGCCTTACCGAGACTGGCCCATTGGTAACGGGGGGAGTTCGTTTATTAAAAAACAACAAGTTTTGTTATTTTGTTTGAAACTCACACGACGAAGTATACAAAACTTGAGCGTAAGCACTGTATGTGACACAACATAAATAAAATATTATGGAAAATACATTATGGAGCAGGTGTGGGTGGCTAAGCTCACAACCTTCTCACCTATACAGCTCTTCACTTCTGCAGAGAATTGTGGGAAGGCAGATGCTATGTAATTTCTTTTTTTTTCTTTTTTTTTATACTAACGATTAAGAACGGACCGCTGAGGGTTATAAAAAAATCTTATCTCCGGAAGAGGGCCTTCTAACCCTTAGTATGGTCATCAGTAAACACTGATAGTAAGAATCTTATCCCGTCCTCCTTCAGTAATGGATTACTGCTAAATCAACAAATCTTAGTTAGAAGAATGAGTTATTAGTCTATCTTTCTATCAATATGTAATTATCTTCGTTAATGGAACGAGCGGAGCTGAAAAACTGGGGATCCATTTTAAAACTCTTGTGCTTATTTGAGAAACTGGTAACATTGGGGATTCATTTCAAAAATTATCGTGCTTATTTGAACTCTTGGTAAATATTGGGGATTCTCTTTAAAACTCTTCTGCTTATTTGAGAAATTGGTAACATTGGGGATTCATTTTAAAATTATTGTGTTTATCTGGGAACTTGGTGTTATGAGGGATTAATTTTAAAGCTCGTGTGCTTATTTGGACACCTGGTAAATATTAGGGATTTTTTTTTAACCTCAACGGGTACGTAACGGGTACGCTAGGATCCTCTCACACTCCTTTATAATTTCAACACATACTGTGCTCAACAATTTCAAAATATTACTGGAATCAGAATGGCAAGGCTTGCTTTTTTTTTTAGGTTTAATCCTATGAATAAGATCTACTTCGAGGGGGTATTTTTGAACCAAGTATACGTCTGACAGATTCCCACACTATAACTTATCTCCTGGAAATATCTATGGTAGAAGCAATTTCCTTACGTCACGCTGACGTCATGCTGATCATGATCAGATCTGTAACTGGAGGTCCATGAATATTATAATATATATATCACTCGCATTCACCTGATCTATATTGGTAATACAAACTCTGCAGAAACTTCGATTTTCTTTAGTGAATGTGTTCAGGGGCTGCTTGGCCAATGGGGAGGAAGGGGAGAGGGGTTAGCTGCTTATTACTGTGATGTGAGCTAAGTTTGTCTTTGTTTTGTTCTCTGTTGCTTTCGTTTTAAAAGTTCCATTTAAGGTAAGGTAAATCACTTATATTTTTTGTGTAGAAAAAAAAAAAACGGCCCACATTTTTACCCCCCCCCCCCTCCCCATTCACACACGATCTGTGATTCTGGTTATGCCCCCCGGTGTGTCATGGATTAGCAGTGTTTTGTCCCTTATGGAGGAAACCAAACCGGGAAACAAAACTGAATCGTCTTTAATATTATATGCAGACATAAAACTTTCCATACGTTGCTTTCTTTCTCTCTCTTATACCATGCCGACTTAGTGAACAGAAACGTGCGCGTTAGATGGGGCAACCACCACATCCGTGAAAGATAAGTTTCTACTGGCTGTGGGGGCGGGTTTTCCAGCTACAGTAACGTCGAGTTTGTGAATCGTTAAACTGGCGTATCACATTTCTAATTAGTTGCCAAACATGGTTGAATAACAGACTGAGTGATACACACAGTCCTTTACCTAACTTACCCTTCTGTTATCTTCAGGTCATGAAACCAGGGAATGTACAGGGGGATTGGTGCTATTTATATAATGATGTCATTATTCACTCGAAGTAGATTGATAGATAGGATAGGCATGGCATTTAGCTTCCCTCTACGTCAGAAAGTGTTTGGATAAACTGTACACACGGTTTAACTTCAGTTTTACTTTGGAGATGAAAAATAAGAGATTTTTTTATTATAACGAAGAGAAAGTTGGGAAGACCATTATGTAATACTTTTCAGTTCTACTTAATATGGAAATTCGTTTTTCTCAAAACTTAACTAATTCGCATTTAAATAAATGAGCTAGGATTCGGTAGGCAGTCTGTTTACTTTTGATTTAAAATGAGTTTCAGTATGACCTTCTATTTAAGGCCTGAAATGACCTGGTGGTTAGGGCACTCAACTCGCAGTCTGTGAGTGGCGGGTTAGAATCCCGTCACCGAACATGCTCGCCCTTTTAGTTGTGGATGGGGGGAGGAGGGCGTTATAACGTAAAACGTGACGATCAGTTCCATTATTCGTTTGTAAAAGAGCAGCCCAAGAGTTGGCGGTAGCTGCCTTTCCTCTAGTTTATCGTTTCAAAATTAAGGACGGCTCGTGCAGATAATCCTCGAACTTCAATAAACAAACTAACCGTATATTTATCTTCATCACAAGTCCAAGCAGAACTTGTTCTAAACGCCTGAACTCGTACTGTTGTGAAGGGTATTACAGGTGTGGGACATTGTGTACCCACTCCTGCCATTTAACGTATTTCCCATTATATATGTTCTCGATTTTTCTGTAACTATACTTTTCTTTAATATTGTAGTTAGGAGAAAAGTAAGGCATGTATTTTTGTATAGATGTTAAATCAGCGGTAAACCGTCTACCAATTTATGAGTAGAACCTAATTAATCAGATACCTCTGAACCAGGATAAATCTGGTAGTCCCAACGCTAAAACTTATCTCGTGGATTGTTTTTTTTTTTCATTGGTTAATAGTTTGTTTTCTCTTAGCTCGTTTTGTTTCTTTTTTCTTTTCTTTCATTGTTCATTTGGACTTTTCGTTGTTTTCCACGGTGATTTGGTCTTTATTATCCGTATAGTAAAATACTAGTATATTTCTACCTATAGGTATACTATAAAAAAAATATACTTATAAGCCTATCTTTCATCTAATTGTGCTGATTGTAATCATTCTACAAGATAGACCTCTAGCAGTCTTTCGGAAAACCTTTTATTCAATGATTGAATCAGCCTGGCATTGCCTGGTGATTAAGGCGTTCGAATCGCTATATGCTAGTCGCGAGTTCGAATCCCCATCTCCGGACATGCTCTTCCCTTTTAGCTGTGGAGGCGTTATAAACCTTCGGTCGATCCTACGATTCGTAGAGGGAAGGGCATCTCAAGAGTTGGTGGTGGGTACTGTTGACTAGCTGTCTTCCCTCTTGTCTATCACTTCAAAATCAGGGACGACTGGTGCAGACAGCCCTCGAGTAGCTTTGGACAAAATTCGAACAAAACAAAGAAACAAACTACTGAAGCCCTCCGATGGCTGAACGGTAAGGTTGAGCACTTATAATGCTAGAATCCGGGACTTACTCCCCGCCTGGGTCACACAACAACAAAATAAATAACAATGGAGATAAAGCATTACTATGTAACTGTATAATAGTAACGTGTTTGAATGTGTATGTTGTGTAAGCAAAGCAAGCGCTTGATTGAATTAACATACACAAAATAAAACGATCAATACTCGAAAAACTAAATCAAGTAATACGCGTAGAAAACTAAGTCGATTAATAAACAAAACTAAACCGATTAAAGGATTAAATGCATAAACAACTAAACAAAATGATACACCCAAAAGTAAGCCTATTAATATGTAAACAACAAAACTAAATAATACATAAACAACTCAATAGATTAATACAAGCAAAAGTAAGTCTATTAATATGCAAACAACAAAACTGAACAATACAAAAACAACCAAATCGCTTAATATACAAAAACTGTCCTTTGTAACATAGCGATGCTAAGAAACTTCTAGCATACAGAACTTTCGTACATTTGTTAACTTTTAAATAATTTTATGTTTCCAAGAATACATGATTACCACCTACCAGACACAAATAAATTCTGCCTACAAATACCAAAAAAATAAGGTACCTCGACAAAACTACCTTGATGACGTAATCGAATTAGCCCATTTTTTGAACTATTGCCGTGTTCTGTTGAATATTGGTAACATAAAGTACGTATTTGAAAGACATTCATTCAAAACGACTTGAGTGCAGATAATATTCTATTAATGATAAGGAAGCGTTTTAAAGTTTTGCACTGTCATTGTTTATTGGTAGATGACGTGTAATTTGTTGTCGTTGTCTCATATACAAAACAAGCTGAGGCACCCGTCCTACGTTTGGGGGCATAAGAATTGGGTGTAGGGCTTGAACTAATAAATTAAATCAATAAGTTGTATTCATATGCATAATTGATTTTACACATATTTTACTTTACACCTACCTTACTCCACATCACAGAATGGTGTTACTATTACTTTACTTTTACTGATCCCCCTCAACATCTTCAGTGTTTGTTGATACTCCGAGTGCTAATTTCATAAACCACATTAGAAGTTCTTCCCTTTTACTGGGGCGGCCTGGTATGGTGGCCAGGTGATTAGGAGGCTCGAGCAATCTGTGGGCCGTGGATTCGAATCCCCATAACCAAAAATGCTCGGCCTTTCAGCTCTGAGGGCGTTATAACGTGACGGTTAATCCCACTATTCGTTGGTAAAAGTGTAGCCCAAGAGCTGGCGGTGGGTGGTGTTGATTAGCTATCTTCCCTCTAGTCTATCATTGCTGAATTAAGGACGGCTAGCGCAAATAGCCTTCGTGTAGCTTTGTTCCAAATTCAAACCAAACCTTCCTGGGCCAAAATAGAAACATTTTTATAGAGACCCTAATCTTGAACACTCAACATAGAATTGACCATGTGAAAAGCCTTGCCACTTTAACGGTCTGACCTTGTGCTTTGGTTGTCATTTTTTTACTGGCAAAATATGAATATTTGATATTTTTTTAATGAAAAAAACAAAAAATTTTCAAAGAAAATCTCAAAAAGAATTTAAAGAAAAAATTCAAAATAAAATTTTTAGGAGTACAAATTGGTCCAAAACTGTGGAGTTATTAACT